AACTTCTTTAAATACAACTTTAATATTGTCATTATCAAACTGTGACAAGCTGAAAATAAACTGAAGCCCTTTTCCGTCAAATAATGAAATATACTTATGTATTTGCCCATCAAAGGGGAAACCATTTGGGTTCGTTGTTCCTTTAAACTGAGTATGTCTCGCTTTAAAGCATGAGAAAGATGGGCAGTTTAATGCAAAATGTATTTTAGTGATGTAGTGGTAGGTATTTTCGCAAAATTCTTAGGCTACAGCATTCACCACTCAACACTGGATGCTGATCTTCACTGTTTAAGTTCACTAGTTATGCTAAAGGTTCGTGATCGAGCATTCACGTCAATTGGCACACTACCATGTAACCTTCGGTCGTTCGTGCTAACTAAGCAGTCATCATTGCCCTAAGATCCTGATCCTAAAATATATTTCGTATTCTGGACGGTGAATTTGGTGTTTTGATTTGTCTTTGGTCTCGGTAGAACAAATACTATAGGGTTTGTGGGATCAGAACTGGTGTTTGTATACATCATACTTCATGCAAACGTCAACACTCCTTCCTCCTCTAAAATGTGCATAGTCTTAGCCTGTCATAGCACACTGTACTGAAAAGTATCAATACAGATAACATAGTAATATTAGGCATAAAAGGGTTGGAATCAAGGCAGTAACCTCATCCTCATATGTTACAAATGTGCAAGTGATGAAACTTTGGTTGTGAATTTTGGTAAAACACCAAGTGATACAGTATAATTAGCTGAATGAATTTCTGAGCATAATTTTTGACTCACAGTCATGTCATATTTATGATCTGATTATAGGTAATAATACGAATACTGTACGATGATATGGCATATCAGGCAAACTTCACTTAACCAATATTAACCCATCACTTGGGAACGATGAAAGGAAAAACAAAATCAGTCATTATTGCATCAGTGCTCTTGGAGAAGTTCAGATTGTTTGCAACGAAAAGTATCAGGGTAAAATCGGCATCTTACACCATTTCAAAAGGAAAGTAAAGCACCTTTTGACACGTGTGTATGGAGGAAAAGTAGCTTTATCTTGCACATATCAACAATATTTCTTAAATCCAAATTTAAAATCAAGGTCAAATAGCAATACAGGTACCAAAAACTTCGTTTATCATCCTGATAATGATAAAGTAACACTAACATATTCTGAGTGATCAACAAAGGCCCGTAGACAAGTTTTATCAATTCAATTATGTCATGTGCATCACAAAAAGCATTTCCAACGGGCTACTGCAAACTTTTATCTCAACAGCTGCCTTCTTTTGCTCGATACTGAAGATCGGATAGCCAGCCAGAAAGATTTAGCAACAAGAAACTCCGGTAATGAATTAATTAAGAACCTAATGCTCAACAAATATGTCGAATGAAATGGAGATGGATCAGACACAGGGTGAGGACACCATTGGGTAACATCTTAAGCAAGGCTATCACTTGAGTGGAACCCGAATGGGAAACTGGCATTCGTCCGAGGGTGACATGGGAGAGACCACATGAGACGGAGATGAGAGACTGTAGGCAAGCATACGTAGAGGAGAAAGTCATCCAAATGCATTTATTAGGAAACAAGGAACTTTTTAACTGGTCTGTTGGAATTTGAATTGTCTGAAGAGTGATCATTTTTTACTTATATCTAGCCATTTATATAAAATCCATCAGGTTGAAAAAGTGTCCCCTTCAAGGCCTAAGACTACCTGTAGAATGCCTTGAAGTGACAAACAACAATTCGAAAGTGTATCACGATGGTGAGCCTCATAGCCTGCTGTCCACAAATTTGACTGCAAAAAATTAAATCAACTATAACTACTAGACAAGATGACAATGATTACACATTAGTGACCAATCAGTTAATCGGTCATTTTACTTTGCTTGAGTCTACAGGATTTCAGCAGTCAGTAAATACACAATGTTGGTGAAATAGCTCAAATACACTTCCAGTGGTGGAAAAGGCTTTTCCTTTTTGATCTTGAAATTTGGCATATTTCCATGCAATTGTGCTTTCTCCAGTGAAACTGATATTTATGGACTGCATTGTCTCTACACATTAGCACATTACCTCCTGCGTGAAGTTGTGAAGTGCTGCAACTACAACTTATGTATCCCTGTGCTAAGTTATTGATTTTAAACATTACTCTTGAACAAATACTGATGCGTCGAGTCATGAAATATTATATAACTTTTAGTGTTCAATTCTAATATTCTTTTCAATAAATCCTCTTCAAGTCCTTGCAACTATAAAATATAATATTCGTTATCGTCACAACAGTAACTAGTTATGCGGTGGATACATTTTAATATAAAATACCAGATTACTTAAAGAATTATGAGAAAAATAGTATTTGTGTGACAAACCTGTTAGGCTGAATTCAGTTAGTGAAGACAATTCAGTGAAGGAAATTTTCTTTATTGATGAAATCATCTCCAGAGGCTGTATGATCGTATTTATATTTGCCGAAAAGGCATAGTAGTCCATGACTGAGTATTAGGGGGTGGCACAACTGACATAATTATTAGATAGTTGGAAGCAATCGGCAGGAAGCCTTGGATCCACCCAGGTTTTGTGCTAGTTGGCACTCACCAGTCAGCAAAGCGTATTTGCAGTCTTGAAGGAGCTCATAGATTGGTTACAGGATTTCATCATGAGCTGACATAGGTTAGAGAACCATTGGAAAACCTGCGGGGAGTACTGGACAGCTGTTTCGTCAGCCTAGTTTGGGACGCACCCACCACCAGGGTTCGAAGCCAATACATTCTGGATACAAGGCTAGCGAGCTCGTAGACCATTAAGCCACTGGGACCCAACCGATCCAATGGCCAGCCCATGAATTCTAACTTCTGCCAATTCATTACAAAGCGTGACCTCTATCCAGTGTCATCTGTGGCCAGTATTTGTCCTCACACCCATCTGCTGTACCTACTGGTTACGACTGACTCATAGAATTCAGTCTGCAGTAAACAAAGGACTAGACACATGACATCAATTAATGTCCAATCAAAATAACTGATACAATTACTCAGAAGTGGCTTCAGAAGTAAAAATAAAAGTTTTAAATTACAAAATACTCAGGAGCTCAAAGGAAGAAAAGGTTAGAAATTTGATAAGGTTAAAATTGTTACTGAGTGAGAAGAAAGGTAGCTGAGGGTCCACTTAACAATTGTGAAGAGGGTGAGAAAATGTACAAAAGGAATATGTGAGAGCGATAATAGTGCTTTAATTATTAAAAATAAATTACAAAATATTGTGAAATATTGAGACACGATGGTGATGATTAGTCATAACAGATTCACATAGTGTAAGGAAGGAGAAATGACAAGTCAATCCAGGGTTTTAGAAGGTGTTAAGTGAGTGGCTAGTACAAAGTACAATGGATTAGAAAGGAGATAGTAGGAGTGCAGTAAAAATTTCATTATGAAATAACTAATATGTGAAATGAAACAGGTGGAGTCATGTATTGAGAAAAGAGATAATATCACTAATAATTAATCTGAGTAGTATAAATGGAAAATTCGATAGTAATGAAGAATGGTAGAATGAAGGGTATAATTATAATAAATGATGATGGTAAGTTATAATAAGTAAAGCAAAAGAAAAAAAAACAAGGAGGGATAAGAGGAAGAGGCCCTCTTGGAGAGAAGAAATCTTAGTCCAGGTTTGGTCAGTAGGAACAGGCCTAAACAAGTTCCTTTAAAATACAAATTTCCGGTTTCGTCGGTCTTATTGCAGCAGCTTCAGCTGTATGTTGGATGTTGTAAGAGAACTGTGCATGATAATGACTTCGGAGTGTAGTATCCATCCTCCGTAAAGCTGTCTATTATTTTAACCATAAAAATTATTATATTTCATAATTGTAAGAACCTGAAGAAAATTTATTGAAAGCAATATTCTTCATTCAGTCCGACATTTAAATATTAGTGTGCCTAATGAATTTGTTGTATTCTGTGTAATTATTGATGTTCATAGTTAAGCTATTGTATATGATTTCATTTCGTTGTTTTTGACGAATGACTTCTTCAACAAACAAGTAAGCATTGGTTTTGTAGAGATTTTGTTTGATTGGATGGAAGATTTCATCATGAGCTGACATCAGTTAGAGAACCATTGGAAAACCTGCTGGAAGTACTGGATAGCTGTTTCGTCAGCCTAGTTTTGGACTCCTCATCAGTACGCACCCACCGCCAGGTTTCGAACCCAATACCTTCTGGAGCTAGCGAGCTCGTAGACCATTGAGCCACTGGGAAAAAATAATCTGGGAAAATTAATCTGATGCTAACTAGCGACTGGCCCTATTCAGGCAGTTAACCTGAGGTTCTAGTGGGAAGCCGTAACCAGTAGGGTGCAACAGGTTGAAGGTGAGGCAGTAACTCATCGAAGAAGACATTGCAAGGTGGTCGTGAATTGGCAGAAGTTAGAATTCATGGTCTGGCCATTGGATCGTTTGGGTCCTAGTGGCTTAATGGTTTACGAGCTCGCTAGCCTTGTATCCAGAAGGTATTGGGTTCGAACCCTGGCGGTGGGTGTGTACTGATGAAGAGTCCCAAACTAGGACGAAACAGTTATCCAGTATTCCCAGGTTTTCCAATGGTTCTCTAACTGATGTCAGCTCATGGTGAAATCCTCCATGCAAACAAGTAAGCGATTATTTGAAATTTCAGTGATTAGGCTTCAAGTTTTTATTTCGCTTCACTTTTCAGAAATGTTTAGATTGTCAACAGATGATCTAAATGACACTATTTGAGCTTTAGCAGACTTCAAAAATGATGCAAAATGTGTACAATAAAGGCATGAAGCTATATCATCATACGTCAATGGGATTCTATACAGTTTTTATTGTTTGTGAAGTTTCACAGTGATAACAAATGTTCAGTACATCTACTTTTCAATTTACACAGTAATATTGATTGATTTACTAATGCGATCGAATTCTCATTTAATAGTTTCAAACAAGACATTATGCTGAGGAAAGTATTAGTCTTATAATGAGATTAAGAGGGAAGTTAAAAGACTTATGGATCACGTATCTGGCATTCAAAGGTGTACTTTTCACTTGTGCTTATGCACTAATTTTATCTATACTCCCACTTATGGTACCTGGCAAGGTGAGATGAGTTCTTATGTTTCACACTTATATTCGTACATATATATTTATGTATATACAACCCTCTCTGGTGGAGAGTAAACAGACAGTGATCCTTCTTCTATGGTCGCTGGTACGCCTAATAAGTCCTATATGTCGTCCAGCATAAATTATGATTTCTAATTCTATAAATGTAATGATCTGGTTCTAATATAAATGACGTCCTCAAATGTCTCCAGTCCTTGAAATCTACCAGCTCCCTTCGTTCTAGTGGCGTGCCCACTTTTATCCCCAGAAAATGTGCGAACATTTTAAGTTAGTTATCCTCTCACTGGTATTTTCAATGAATCATTTCCCATTAATGTATTTTTTGTTTTTTGAAAGGATATTGAAATTGTTCCTGTGCTTAAATCATCAAGCAGATCAAGAGTTAAGTTTAAACTTGCTGCTTTTACCTCAACATTGTTAAAAAGAATGGAAAATATGCTTTTACTAAACCATGAACATTCATTGAAGGCTTTTAATAACGCTAAAAATTTGATTAAAAACATGGTAGGGGTAGTTTAGATACCACTGTTGTCTCACATCATAATATTGTCTCTAATTTAGACAAAGGTGCTAAATATGTTCGGTGTGCCTTCCTTGATTACACATTCACCTTTCACTCTGCACCTAGGCCCACTTCGTTAAACAAGCTTACTGCAACACCTGCAGGGTAGTGGACTAGTAAATGTTCTATTGTATTCTTACTTCTCTGATAGGAAGCAATACACTGTGTATAGTGGAAAGTCTTCCAGTTCCTTACTTACTCCCGCTGGTGTTACTCAAGGGGTGTTCTTTCTCCTTACATCATTTTCCCCATTCAGATGAGGCCCATTTTACTAATAATTCCAATTTTTGAATGTACCCACTGAGGTTACTTCTCAGTCAGATTGCTCTTAAATGAACAACTTTCTATTAGAAATTAGTCAGTAGTCTTTGTCAAATAGCCATAAGCTAAATCCCCACAAGTGTCAGGTTGTTAATTTCCTTTTCAGACGCCAGCACAACTTATATGGCACTGAAGTTGAAACTAAATCGAATGCTAAATACCTTGGATTGTGTATATCCGCTGACCTCTCCTGGTCTTCCTACATCATGTTAGTCTCCAGAAACATATTTCTTCTAACGTTTTATGTAAGGGAGTTAGGTAATCTAGTTTCATTCAGTTTCTAATTTTACAGCTCGTTAATTCTTGTATTCCACCTCTTCTTCTCCATTACTCCCCATTAGTCTGTTCTGGGCTACTTAAGAAAGACTTTTGACATTGCGAAGGACACTAAGAGCTGTCAGTTGGATGAGTGGGGTTTGGTTAAACTTACCAAATTCTTAATACTCTTGTAGATAGACACACAGACTCTCCAGGTAGGACTAGAAGCAACTATATAAGAATTTATGCTCAGATGCCTCAGTATAAAAACTGTAAAATATCTTATTTCGCATACATTTTATGTGGTGAGAAAAGAGTTAGGCATGACACTGCGAACTAACTGTGAATCACTAAGTAGACAGCATTTTCTTATTCTTTCTTTCATTTATATATTGTCTATAATATTTCTGCCTTAATTTTAAATTTTATAATTATATTCTTACTGGACAATATTATCAATGTAAATGACCTGTTTGATTATTTCCCGCCGTATTGTGTAATGAGAAAATAAGATTCAACATTGTATGCATGCTGAAAATTCCATATTTGTATCAAAAGTACTTTTTGGAATAAAGCCTCTGTTACTATGTTAATTTTTTATTTTATTCCTTTACGTTCCCAGTGGAACATAGGGCTTCAAGCTAGAGACTTGAAGTTTCGGTAGCAGTGGTGTTTATTTTTACCGGATGGGGTTGCTAGCCTCACGCCCAGCATTCCCTCTTTACCACTCTTATACTGCTTAGCGAGTTAAAGGGTCAGGGCTTGAACCCTAAGCCACCAGTGTGGTTAGCGAGCATTCTACCACTGTGCCACGAGCGCACTTCTGTTCTCATATATGTTTATATATTTTGGAATTACTTTTCAGTAAACGTATGCTAACAATTCGAAGAGTTGTTGATGAGTTTGGTATATTTGTTTACTTTTTCTGTTGACACTGAGCACCATTATTCTATTTGTAAAATATACTCTTATTTCCTCCCCAATAGTTTTTACTTGATTTACGAACTCATAAAGGTTCTTAATTTGTGCATATTTCTTTTTTCTGAAATTAAGCCAGCTAAAGCAGCCTACGTGTTATTACTTATGACCGGGTTATGGATATCTGAAGTTATACCAATTTATGTAACCGGTTTGATTCCAATGGTTCTTGGCCCATTGTTACAAATATCTTATCCATCCAAAATCTCTCCAGCTTACACAATGGTAAGTTGGTCTCTTATGATAAATTTAAGTTCTCATCAGCCGGACACATTTTTAGAATTAAGTGAACTTTCATTGATTATGATAATATGGGAAAATTTTGTTGAAAGGATTAGCGTTATCGAAAAAGATCAAGTGATGTCAGCTCATGATGAAATCCTCCAACCTATCAAACAAAATCCCTACAAAACCAATACTTGAAAATTAATCGAATGGTCACTAGCGACTGGCCCTATTCAGGCAGTAACCTGGGGTTCTAGTTGGAAGCCGTAACAAGTAGGGTGCAGCAGGTTGAAGGTGATGCAGTAACTCATCGAAGAAGACATTGGCTAGTGGTTGCGCCATGTCGTGAATTGGCAGAAGTTGGAATTCATGGGCTGGCCATTGGATCTGTTGGGTCCCAGTGGCTTAATGGTCTACGAGCTTGCTAGCCTTGTAACCAGAAAGTCCTGGGTTCAAACTCCGGTGGGTGCATACTGCTGCTAAAGAGCCCCAACTTAGGACGAAACGGTTGGCTGTCTAGTACTCTCAGGTTTTCCAATGGTTCTCTAACTGATGTCAGCACATGATGAAGTAATTAAGTTTCCTTTACAATATTTTATTTATTTTTATCCTAAGTAACTCAAATTCTGTTGCATTTTTAAGTTATGTTAGTGGATGAATGCAATAGTTTCAGATAAGCAGAATAAAAGCAGACGTCGTGAATAAACTTGATTTTACTTAAAAAGTAACGAATACTAAATTGTTCAGACATTTATCTTAGCCAGACTTATTTTAGATCTCAGATTTTCAATTAACTTGCGGTGATGAAACAATGGGATGATCAAAAGACTAATCAGTTGTAATGGATTATTGCCTGTTTCTAACTGATTCGGAGTATTAAATTGTCAGCATGTATTTTTGACGCTCCAAGATATCATTATCTAGGGGTAATGGATCATTTCTGAACCTCATGATGAGAATGTTTTACATGCATCTATTCAAACGTATTTAATATTCTATAGACTTATTTACAAATTTTGAGATATTAAACAGTTCCATCTGAGTAAGTGTAAAAGGGCATGTATATACTTGCTATCTTCTACGGGTAAATTTCTTCACAAAATCCTTAAGACTATTACAGCAGTTTTGTTGCTCAAAACTTTTATTGACAGCCCTGTGCAGTGTTGAGTAATTTCACTCATCTATTTGTTGGTGAAGTGTGGAGAAAACAGTGACAACAATTAAAAACGAAGAAATCTCTAATTTCTCTGTCAATGAATGCAAATGTAACAATAAGAATAAAAAATAATTGATCTCCTTCATTTCCTCTTGTTATTGATTTCCAAATTGCCACCGATTGAGATAAGGAGTTTCTGCAGACTGATACTTTTTCTCCAGGCGGTAAATAGAGTGCTAATGTGCTTCACTGATGCAGAGAGTTTGCATTTTTGATCAAAACCCTATGGACTGAGGCATTTGATAACACATTTCACAAATATTTTTCTGTAAAATGCAGTCATAAATTTCCGTTAAATAGCATTGTTACTACTACTTTAACGGCAGAAGACAACAGACTTGGTAACGGAATATTCGTTTGGAGTTTGATATCTATAAATAGCGAAATAACGTAAACCTTATCTGAAAATCGTCATTCGCACAGATCTTCCATGTTTTGCCACTTCTACCCTTCGTACTGTATTTCTTTGTCTTGTTTTCATGTCTCCCATGTTTTACCGCAACAATGGTTCATTTACTCTCTTTGTCGTCAAATCTATCTTTCCACTATTTGATACTTTTATGCCAATGAACGCCTCTTTATATACTACTAATAAATCTTGTCAGTAGCACACTTAACACTACTAGTACTAATAATAAAAACGTTATCTTAACTGCTTTTTACATTTGCTGAACTTTAGGATACGAATATGCTAACATTAGGGGGTTTGTTAATGGCATGTGCAGTGGAAAATAATGATGTGCATAAGCGAATCGCTATATCTATTCTCAGACTTTTTGGGAGTGATCCGAAAATGTATGTAAGTTCTTTAAAATCAAAACTTTATGAAATATTTCATGCATATATATAAATACTTTGCCAGGAAGAGGCCTTTAAAATCAAAGGAAATAAGCATTTGAAAAATGATAAAGTAATAAAATCACTTCCAGGTGTCATGTTGGTACCAATAAACTGTACGGAGTTTTCCATAAAACTTAACTTGATTTTGATATGTAGTTCAGTAGGTTGTTTGGAAAATGGACCGATCAGCTGTCTCATGAATAGCAAGGCAGTTGACCAATGGATTATCCTTTCTCATGCCTGTGTTATTGATCCGTGTATACATCCTTTGTTCCCCACAGATTTTAATGTTTCCTTTTGTAAAATTACTTTCCATCTCACCTCGTTGTGTGTTCTCGTTTGAGTAGCGGGCTGGAAAATCAGATAGCTGTTGTATATATTGTTTACGTAGACAAAAAATAATCGTGATCACCGCGTTTTAACTAGATCTAGTGTCCTCACCAGTTGAACCTCAACATCTTCACAATATAAAAGACGCAATTCGTTTTGGGGAATTTATATTAGTGACCTTCAGCAATACAAAACTTAACAATCGACGACTGATAACTTTCGGTAACGCAAACCAAAATCTACCATCAAAGCTTCATACGGATTATCTGTTTACAGTTTTGAAATTTAGGATATTTTCACTAATCGTCAATTAATTGTTCGTTTCTGTACCATTCCAGCTTCTAAGTTATATCTACCCTGTTTATATGCAAACTGTTTAGGGTCATTAGAACTTTTCAAAGAAAGTTCAGGGTTGAGTGAATGCAATTTTTTTCCATTAATTTCAAAGAAGGAGAAGTAATTCCAGTAGGTCTAAATTTTGTTCAGTATCATTCATTTTGTGACCAGGCTGTTGTTAACTCTTTAGCTAAAGATTTCAATGAAAAAATGCACTGAAATTTGCACCCATAAATTTCAATGGGATTCATCGGCTTTTCATTTTACATACGTCTTTTTTTGAAGGCAATCAAAATAGTCTGTACGAAACTGCATTAAATGGCTATAAAAATAACTGTATCATCTTGCTTTGTTTCTGTTAGACACCGAGCACGTCCTGTCTTTATTCGATTTTCTAAACATTCAACTCTACCATGAATTACGAATTTTGTTTTCTTCATTTGTGTTACAAGTCACGAGTGACTGCACTCACAAATACTAGTGTCAGGAAATCCAAGATTATGCCAAATGGGAAACAGGAAAAATATGTGATGGAGTTGTGAAATCTCCTGAGGAGGTCTTAGACATTTTCAAAGCATGCAGACTGACTTTATTCCATGACGATGAGTGTAAGCTTCTGTAGGTTTGCATTGAAAGAAAAGAAAAAGAAATAATTAGACCAAGATGTGACATCAGTCGCTGAAGTCTATGTCAGCTTCTCTGAAGTCCTCAGAATGTTGATTAAGAACGATTTGAGATCCATGGTAACATGATTATGAAGGAGTAACAAAAGGGATATAAATCTATTAATTATTTGTCGTATGCGAAACAAAGGGCTTTACACTACTTTTCTCCTTTCATATCTTTCTTATTGATTTTACATTTAACAGCCCTCATATTCAGTTTCTCTTTGACTTTCGTATCCAGTGAGTGATGAATCTGTTGTTTCTTTGTACGGGGTCCTCCACTGGTCTGTTTGGCTTTCATTTTTATTTCTAGAACAGGTGTAAAAATATGGTTTACTGAAACTATCAAAATCATCACTTAAATATTTTACTTAGTTTTATAAATTCGCTACTTTACAACTTATTATCAGCCAAATTTATCTTACTTCACAATGAACATTCCCTCATTATACTGTAAAGCAACCAGCTTACCTGGATGAAATAAACTACCTATCAAAATATTCTTGTTAAGCATAAATGTTTATGCATAAATTTCACTTCTTTACATTCATTTCCTTACAAAATGCGTACAATGAGGCACTTTGCTGAAACATTTAAATCGTGCCTATATTTAGTAAAGAAATGTAAAAGTATCTTTCTTCATGAAGCTTGATTTGATTACTTTAAGATTTTCCAGTGATAACTTAGGTGCAGGAGACTTGGGGCAACTAGCAGTCACGAATATTATGGGCTAACAAAATGACGCCAAAATACCTGGACTTCGAAGACGATTTATGTATAATGTCACACGAACCAGAAGACTTACAGTCGAAAATCAACAAGTTGTCATCAGAGGCTAGCAGTGAAGACAGAACTTTGAAGCGAATATAGAGAAGACGCAGTTGATGGAGATAACAAACCAGCAACAAAAAGAATCAATCCATATCAACAGGAGAAATTTAAAGGGGTCATTTCTTTCATTTGCCTAGCTATTGAGCATCGTTTCAACAAGAGGCATTCTGAACGACTTAGGATGTCGAAGCCAACCACGACTGGATAGGCAAGACAGACCTTCGTTACTGTGAAATTAGTTTTGAAATCTACTACATTTAACATAAAAAATTTGGATTGTCAACAACAGTGTTAGCTCATTTCTTATATATGGGTCAGACACTTAACTAATCAAGAATAGCATTTCCAACAACTTGTTTCAGACTTTCATCAAAAGTTGCTCCACTATTTCCATCTGGAAGATCAGATGGCCGGCCAGGGGGGATTGAAAAAAGAACCTGGTAACAAACCAATCAAGAACTTATTGCTCAACAAATATCCCATGGAAAATGGAGATGGATCAGCCCCAAGTTGAAGGAACCAGTGGACGACATCACACGCCAAACAGACTCTCAATTAGAACCTGATCGGGAAACGATGAATTTGGCCTTTATCCGAGGATTATATGGAGGAAATAGTGTGAGGAGGCAGTGAACGCTTATGGGCAGTCATGGGCCCAGCTAAAAGGGAACGCAGAGAACAGGACAAAATGAAGAGATGCTGTTGAATATCTATGTTCCACTTGGAACCCAAGGGATTAATAACAATGGTACTAATGATAATGTAATATACTGAAAAGTTAGTGTATCATTTTTATTCTTAAAGTTAGATTTAATATTAAGCTTGGGTATAGTAACGGTAAACTGTCTTTTACAGGCTCTTGTTTGGTATCATGTTACCAAGTTGGTTCCTGTCTATGTGGATGAGTAACACTGCGACTACTGCCATGATGATAACAATTGTGGATGCACTATTGACTAACCTCACTAAAATTGGTAATGTCTATGGCCATTTAATATATATATATGCTGGCGATAGTTTTTGTTTTCACTGTAGTATTCATTTTGATATGTTATATAATAATAGTAGTGACTCAGTCAATCGTTACGCAACGCATAAATATGTGAATGATATATATTTCATTGTTCATAGTTAAATTTTTGGATTTATTAAAAATATCTTTAAATTTACTGGTATTCCTGTCTCCAATAACTTCACTTATAAATTTTGAGATATTCTTTTTTTTGATGCATAACTACGAAGTAAGAGTGATAACTGAATCAATAGATTCATAAACTGAAATTCCACTTTATTATTATTATTTATTTAGTTACTACGTTTTGAGTAGAACATTGGGCCTTTGTGGAGTATTTTCATCGCCCTCCATGCACTTTAAGCATTCCGTTTTCACCTGCTTGGTATCTGGCGTTATCATAGCCCTATCCACATTCCCTCTTTTCTCTATTATCTTATAGGTGTCCTTAGGAAGGTCATTCTTTGAACTGCTTCTTTTTCCTGTCTAAGATATCTACGTGGGCTTACTTCCATGTCACTTTCAATGATTCCAGTGTTGTTTGATCTCTCCAACCTTTTCCTTTATCCTCTCTACATTCGGTATTCATATAATCTATTAAAATTTCGTGCACTTTTGAATTTAGTATGGAGATTGATATAAGAATAAACATTGTGCACTGTGGTAGAGTATAATTCCATAATGGGTAAAATTTGTTTTCATCAAGTCTCACAGTGTTATACAGTAATGTTTACTGATATCCACGTTTCAAGCACAATTTATTGCCGCTCATAATCATATCAAGGTGCTCATGCAACTTTCTAACTTCGTTTATATAATTCCATTATTTCCCATAGCTTGACTTCATTGGTTGTAGTATTTTCCATATTTCCAGTATGAGTGATGAGTGAATCCTATTGCATGTGTTGGGTGTAGACTCGATGAACAAGGATTCAGTAATCAGCCTCTCTCTTGTGAAACTAGTAGTGATAACATAAATAAGAGAGAATACAAGACATCTACTGCTTTACCATACAAGAAGGGGACATCTGAGACCCTACGTTGGATTCTTAATAAAGCGGGAATTAGAGTGGCATTCAAACCTACAAACTTTCTCAGGCGAGACAAGCTCTGTAGATTAAAGGACCACACAGGTTGACCCAATTAGACAAAATAATATAACTTACAAAATACCCTGCAACGACTGTGAGTTAAGTCAACTACATAGGTCAAACTGGTAGGTCCGGGGTGGTTAGATTTTCAGAACATACGAATTTAGCTAAGGTAAGAATGGTTGATCCGGAGTAGATAAGTAATTTAGAAAAAATTCCATTATAGGTAAATTTTGTTTTGATAAAGTCTCACAGTGTTATACAGTAATATTTACTGATGACGTTTCGAGCACAATTTATTGCTCATAATCATATCAAGGTGAGACTTTATCAAAACAAAATTTACCCATAATGGAATTACACTCTACCATAGTGCACAAGTTATATTCTTATATCAATTAAGAAAAAAGCTCAGCAATTTCATTGCATGCATTAACACACAGCAACACGATGCGTTGAGTGGGAGAGGATTAAAATTTTAAAAAGTAATCTAGGTAGGTGGAGAGAGAAGTTGATTACTGAATCCTTGTTCATCGAGTCTACATCCAGCACACGCAATAGGATCGACTCCTCCCTCATACCGGAAATATGAAAAATACTACTACCAATGAAATCAAGCGATGGAAATAATGGAATTATATAGACGAAGTTAGAGTGTTGCGTGAGTACCTTGATATGATTATGACCGGCATTAATTTGTCCCTGAGATGTCATCAGTAAACATTACTGTATAACACTGTGAGACTTTATGAAAACAAATTTTATCTATAATCGGTATGGAGATGTTTGATGAGTTGATTGATCCCAGGAAGCAATGAAACTAGAAACAAGGTTTATCGATTCTTTTCATGATGTATCTATGATAATTTGGTTATTCAGAATCTCTAGATAGATGTGCCTGTCAAGCTAAGTTAATTGATAACATTGGTAATAATTACAAGGTGTTTAACATCTTTGAAAAACTTCAAATGAAGTGTCCTGATCCATTCCTTATCCTCAAGAATAATATTCTGTTTTACGAAGCTCTACTAGTCCATTCAGCTGATGTAAGATAATATTATTGTAAATGGCTACGAATGTTGTACTACTATTGGGTTTCGAAAAGAAAATTAATCAGTACCGGATATGTGAAGAAGCCTCTGGAAATTGTTGGGTCAATGTTCTAAGTTTTTATTATAACTTCATGTGTTACTCAAGTGATCAGTATTTGTGAAATCTATATTCTTTCAAGTTTGATCGCGGATTGATATCAGCCAAAAGACCACTAAAAACCAGAGATTACTGGACAGCTGTTTTGTCCTAGTTTGGAAGTCATCGGCAATACGCACCTATCGAGTTCTGAACTCAGGACCTTCCGGTTACAAGTCAAACACGTAGAACATTCAACCACTGGGACCCAACTCAGTGGTTCATGAATTCTAACTTCTACCATTTCGTGATTTTAGTGCGACTGGCACCAGCCAATATCATCGGCGAGTATCAGTCAATCCGTGATCAAACTAGAGACAAATGAAAACCCTATATTATCTGTTTGACTTGTGAGTGATTTTCGCGGGAGGAACTAAATGTCTGAGCAAAATATAAAAGAAATGTATGAATGTAAACCCTAAAGCATCTGAAAATTTGTCAAGATATTCACGCTTACAACTAAATGAAATGGATACAGACTATCTTACTACAAATTTTAGGTTTCAGGAAATTTAATACTCGCAATTCTTGAATTATTACTATTTACAGAAGAAGAAGATTATCTAGAAACTGATGGTGGGTGAGTGACAAATAATATCTAACCTTTTGTAAATTGTTTTCCTAACTGATGTTTGGGTTTTTTATATGCACAGTCCATGAAAAAATTGGTGGTTTCACCAACTGTCTTTAACTGATAATCTGACATTCGAGTCCTTATGTAAACACTGCAATTAAGCCATATCGTCAATATCTCCACAGACCTGTTTAATCTGGATAAAGTATGTGAAATGGTCACCGGATGGTTACTAGTGCAGCTCATGATCACTTAGTGTGTTGATCGAACTCTATCAATCAAATATGTAGAGTGGTCATAAAGAAAGGTTACAGGACACATATGGTTGTCCAGCACTTCCATAGGCTGATTTCTTCCTACACTTATCATTGTTTTTTTGTTTCATCCCTAGAAATGTGACTTTTACATGAGTCTGTCTATGTAAGGGCATGCAGACGTCTATCTGACACACTGTTAGAGTGTGAGTAGTAATTTGTCCTAACTTCCAAATTTTCATCAAATGAAAATGTAGTTCTCCACATTCATATTTTAGCATTTATTGGATTCCACTAATAAACTAGGGAAGTTTCGTGTTGCTAATTATTGTACTGTTTTTCAGGATTATGGATAGCAAATTATGTTTCGATTAGGATTAGAGTGAATAATGTTGAGTAACTGCATTACAAAACACTTTTGTGAATGTTTCAAACATTTTATCTTTAATTCAATATTGATATTCTGCTAAAAATGAAGTAGTTGAGTCTTTATGCTTTTAAAACTGGAAAAATGCATGAATTTGAGGTACTTATTAGAAGAGTTTGCCTTTCTTTTATTGTAGCAATGAACTTTCAGAAGAAGGGAGAAACACTGTCCAAGAAAGTACCCACAATTCTTATTCACAACTCAATGATGTTGAACTAAGTCCCGATCATATAGTAAGACAATCTATGAGCACCAAACGACTCAAAGAAGTGTTCAGAATGAATGCTGGTCTTAGTCTTTCTATCTCTTATGCATCTTCAGTTGGTGGTATAGCAACAACAATAGGCACACCACCAAATACCTATCTTTATGGATTAATTGTGAAGTACGTTTATTTTTATGATAGTTTCTGATAATCTTGTTGGTATTAGATGGATGGAGGCAATCGGTAGGAAGCCTTGAACCTAGGTTTCATGCTGGTTAGCACTCATCAGCAAGCCATGAGTTCCTTTGAGGTTGCACATACGCCTTACTGATGAATGCAAACTAGCAAGAAACTTAGGTCCAAGGCTTCCTGCCGATTGCCTCCATCCATCTAATACCAACAGTTCACAGTGCACCGTGATGGCGAGCCACCTAGCATGGTGGCCACATCGCAAACTTGACTGACAAATTCAGTCTGCACCAAAGATAGGATTAGACACACACACATTACACTAGTTACTGACTAGTGTCCAATCGAAAATTTCTTATAATCTTTTAGAAATACTGAACATCGTGGTTGCATATATGCAACTCAGTCGTACCTACGAATGGTCGTAAGGGATTTATATTGTTCTGCACTATACACTCTTTACTAAATCCTAAGCACCATGTAATTGTATTTAGACCATGCAGACTTAGTTATGCAGGCTGGAAACTCCTGTCAATAATTAAGCGTACTAGAGTTTCCACTCATCATTTATACTTTGTTTCTCGTAGCGTTGAATATAAGAACAAACCGTTCGGCGAAAAGACTCTGTAAGGAGAATTCGTTCATTTAGCTGTACCGTCTCATTTATATATATTCGTTAGGATTGTCAATCAAAATAAAAATTAGTATGGGTTATTGCTTACGTCATTAAAGTGTTTCAAAAATGTGATGAATAATCAAATGTGACTAGGAGGGGATGAAGATCAGTAAGTGTTGACAAGGGTTGCGTATTATGAAAGACACCCAGAAAAATAGGATGTTGATGAAAGAGCATGGAGACAAGTGTTCAAAATAATGATGAAATCCTGTAAGCAATCAATCAAATCCCTTCAAACCAATACTTAAAATTATGTAATAGGCAGAAAGAAAGAAAAACTAGAATTTCTTAAAATTGAACGCTCCCTTAAGAGCTTTGAAGACCCCAAACTATTTGCCTATAGACAGGGTAGGAGCACTTTAGACGCTGCAGCCGTCTTACACAACAGTATCGTCTCATCATTAGATAAAGGTGCCAAATACGTCCGCTGCACGTTTCTCGACTTCACTTCTGCTTTCGACTCTGTACCTAGATGTCTCTTGCTAAATAAGCTCTCTATGACACAAACTGAGTCCTGGGTCACTAACTGGTTGCATTCCTACTTCTCTAACAGAATGCAGTACACCGTATACAAAGGTAAATCATCCTCTGCTGCGCTCACTGAAGCTGGTGTCCCCCAAGGTGCTGTACTCTCCCCACTTCTCTTTTCTTTCTTTCTACATGACTTACCATCTTCAAATAACATCAATTTTGTCAAATATTCTGACGACCTGACAGTATCTCTGACAGTCAAATGTCAAAGTGACTGCTCTAAACTAAATGGCTTTCTGTCAGAAATCAGCCAGTGGTACAAGGAAAACGGTCTTACTTTAAACTCCTCCAAATGCCAAACAGTCAATTTCACCTTTAGGCATAAATCCGACCTAAACAAACTGGTTGGCTCTCACGAGGTGTGCAACACAGATGGCACTGAAATAGAAACCAAGTTGGAAATTAAATACCTAGGCTTTGTTCTATCTGCTGATCTTTCCTGGTCGTGTCATATCTTGGCGATTTCCAAGAAAATATTCCCTCTTACCTTCTACATTAAGAAGTTAAAACATTCTGGTATAACCCAACCCCTACTCCTACAATTCATTAACTTTCGCATTCTGCCTACTATTCTCTATTGTTCCCCCTTAGTTTTTCCCAGGCTACTGAAGAAAGACTATGACATATTACGCAGGATGTTAAAGGTTGTCAGCAGGGTAAGCAACGTGCCACTTAACCAGCTTGTTGTTAATATTCTGGTTGACAGGCACATGGGCCAAATCCATTTTATCTAACTCACACCACCCTCTTCACTCACAACTCTCCCCTTGCATCTCATCAGGCAAAACCAGAAGCCTATATGGAAAACTATATGCTCGCACCAGCAAGTACAAAACTCAACCATACCCTACTTAGCTCGTGTTGTGTGAGATAAAAAAAGCATTAGGCGTGATACCTGTAACTTAATAAATAGTCAGTAGAACAACTGAACCTCGTCTTTCCAGCTCACATCATTTATAGGTACAACGTTTTCTTTCTTTTCCTTTTCTCTTTTTTTCTGTTATGTGCTGCTTTGTTTCTCTCTTCTTTACAAACTCTATTTAAAACATTATTCTTCGTTCTTTCACACTCTGTATATCTCGACCTTTTGTTACCGCTTACACCAGTAAATATGCTAGTGTCTACATTTCTAACACCTTCAAACACTCTGTTCAATTTTGGCTTTGCTATCGACATGCCAATATGTTGTTGTCAAAACTAACTGAGATTACCCTTAATCTATGTAGAATTTTATTTATTGTTAATGTACTAACAGGATGCAATACTGTAGTAAAATGCTGAGAATTCCATTCTGTATCACAAATACTGTTTTGGAATAAAGCAAATCACTATTATTATTATTATTAAATAAAGGGTTAGTTAAGAAAAAGATGTTACTAAAATGTCATATAAAAATTCGAAATAGTATTGATAACAAAATAGTTGAACTTTGAATTATACCCAAGGTAGAAGGAGGAGTGGAGAAGTTTCTTCTGTGTGCATAAATCAGGGTTCTCTATCCGGATCGCTAAGGCCTCGGCACTGTAAAGTATACGGAAGCTTACCTACCGTTTTCGGGAGACTTCTTTTGACTTTGTAGATGACTTTGAATGGATTCTCCTCGTATATCGAGCGACCAGTGTTGAATGTATGCTCGACTACAGCACTCCTTATTAATCCACTGTTACCTTTTCGTAGCAAAGTGGGATAATGTTCTTTGACACTGATAGATAGAAAAACGTATTCAACGACCTATATATCTCTCTCTCCACATGAGCAAGTAAATTGGTAGACACATAGAAAAGGATATATCATCATCATGGGATTGGTCTCTAATGTTAATCAATACATATGACGAGTTGAACATGGGTGATAGAATTGCGTAATGAGAAAAATAATCCTCTAAGTGAGTTGTAATCAGCTTGCGCATACAACGGAGTAAATTTCTGTCACATAAGAATTCGGGAGGATAGACGAATGCGGAAGGGTTAGAGAAATAAAATAAATAAAACAGATAATTTGAAATCAATACGGTCCCTACCATTGTAACAGAATTGGATGAATGACTTTCGTTAATATTTACAGCTCCGGTTTCTTCACCTGGATGACTATAGCTTTAGCGATGCAAAGGATGAGAGAGAGGATCGTCTTAGTTGTAGATTACCATGAAGGAGAAGTTTGTTGAGATAGACTCATATGTCCTCTTGAACTCTTAGGTAACAGAAAATTCACTCCGTTTCTATGTTCATTCCGATCTCAACTCATTTATTAAATTATTTACTTAATTAAGTGATTCGATCAGCCTTATTCAACCTATCATATTTATTGATTAGTATTATCAACTATTCCCCTGGCGATGATTCAACCCCCTCTAACGATCCGCTTTTACGAGAGAAAATTCTACATAGTTGTCGTTGCACAGCTGACGAAAAGAGATAATGTCGGACTGTTAGGTCTGTTGACTATAGTGACTTGGTACTGAATCGCAATAGGAAACTGGAGTGTAGATTGAATATGACTGTACTTCCTGGAATCCCTTTTGCTACTGGCGTGACAAGACTCGACTGTGCCAGTGGGAACACTCTGATTATCAAACATATATGTATATACATTAAACCAATCCCAATGGTTAAATAACTAATTTGATTGGCTGAAGATTCAGCGTGAGGCCATAGCTTGCCCAATAAAATTTGGCTAAGATCCAGTTGTGCGTCGGTGGCATAGCGGTTAGGACGCTCGCCGACCTTGCACATGGTCCGGAGTTCGATCTCCGGCCGGCGCACTCCTTTACCTCGCTAAGCCAGAAATAATGCTGATGAAGAGGAAAGGTTGGGCATGAGGCTAGCAATCCCATCCTGTAAAATAAAAACACTGCTACAGAAACTTCAAGCCACTAGCTTGAAGCCCTATGTTCCAGTGGGGAACGTGAAGGAAAAAAAAGATCCAACTGCTTCAGCAGCCATTACTTCGGGTATTAAGTCAGAATTTTATCTTTGTACATTTAAAAAGCATTCATCACAGTGTGTATCAGTAAAGAATGTTTCCTACTTGTCCTTTCGTTTCCTGGAAAATGAAAAATAATTTAAAAATGTTTATGATTATTAGTCTGTGTAGTTTGTATTCGCATAGTTTGCTAAAATCTATGATTTGAATAATCGGTGATTTTTTTCGTGCAAAATTTATCCAGTCGTTATGGTGATTCAACAGGCTTCGACTTTGGGACATGGATGTTATTCGCATTACCACTTTCAATCATTATGTTTCTAATTATTTGGTTTTGGTTCAGTGTATTATTTTTCGGACCCAAGTAAGTATGCGTTCTCAAAATTCATTTAAGTCCTTTAGCATAATCAGAAGTTTCGTACATATTTATGCATCTTTAGCTTACAAAAAGTGTCCAACTCGAATTATTTATCGATATTTTCAAATATATTAGTCAGCTTATTCAAAAAATAATCATGAATGAAGAGTTCCGAATGACTAATATTCTGTTGATTTCAAACTACTACTTGAAAATTTTGGATCTATACATTTATCATGCGTTGAAGTCACAGTTACAACAATCATGACAACAATCCAAACACAACACTGAAACACATCCACCCATGTCAATTCTCATCACAGATAGTCGTCTGAAGTGACCACAACCAATAGAATCCATCGCATACGCTCGGTGTCACCCATTCCTACTTTATTCTCCCGCAGATATTTTGATCAGTTCGACTTTGTTTGATTACCACTCATCAGAAATAGACTTCTGACAGGGAATACACATTCCCCACTCAGGATGTCCACATGGTAAAATCCTTTCACGTGAAAACAGTAAAAGGCGTAGTTTTCGAAACACACAGATCACAACTTCGAGCACGATCAGAATGCTGTTCGCTGCTGTTAACTTTCGACTTGAATTAGTCTGAGAACGAGAAATGCAAGTCTGCATGAGAAAGGAGCATAGAGTTTAGACTATTTCCATGGCGTTCTAGACTCATTTTGCAAATAGTTCCAAGTGATGAATGAGTTGAGGTAGTTTATACAAGTTTTGTTTTCAACAAGATTTTCACTTATTTACTTAACTTTAGAATGCGTGTGGTTTTCGTTTCTCGCGAAGACTTGAATCGTTGGCAAAGTCCACATCTTCTAGAGTCTATTTGTCAATCAAATGTATCCCTATTTTCTTACTTCCTTGCACGGCCTAACTCATGGTCTAGTCCATTGCAATCAGGAATATCATCGGTAATGGCAGACAGGCAGCCTGTTTTGTTTTACTCATCCCACTTTTCACTTCACAAGCTTCTCTGGGATTTCCGTTGTGGATCGTCGCAGATGCGGAGTCATCATCATATAGCTACTCGTTAAATGAGGTTGGTAGTGGTCGGGGGCACTACACTACATAGTGTTGAGGCGGTTTCCCATTTACTTAGCAGTCAACATAGTCGAAGGCCTCTTCAAAGTTGATGAAATTAAAGTAGAGAGCTGACTACCATTCTATGCTCTGTTCGATGTGTGATTTGCTCTTCCTTATTCCATTTTATTCCGGGTGGAGTTGTGCATCCAGAGCATCCTCAAGTCTCTTCAGGATGACATTAATTAATATTTTGCTTGGTGTGGGCAGAGGAGTGACTGCGTGCCACTTTTCGCAATGGTCTAAGTCCTCCTTCTTTGATTTCACAAGGTAGTCTATCTTCCAATCCGCAGGTACCTTCCTATCTTTCCAGACTTTCTGCAGTAGTGGCATTAGGACTGCGTCTCTGAGGTTTGTGGATCCGTTCTGAGTGTTTTCGTGGGAGTAGGGTGAATTCCGCGTAATCCGTCTGCTGACTTCGTGTCCGGCTTTCAGTAACTTTGTAGCACTGAAGACTTCTCATTTTGCTGGAGAATTTGTGTTCGCTGGCAGCTGTATACCTGCTGTTGGAGGTTGTATACACGGATACAACGTATCTGGACGATTCGCAGATGGTGGTCAGTTGAAGGGTCCCTTGAAGTAACTGTCCAGAGTTTTCTTTGTTTCTTCCTTTTTAACTGGACTCACTTCACTGTCTTTCATTCGTTCAATCTATGTTTATCTTTTCCTGGATCGTGACCTAGTTATCTGGTATAGTTACCTGAGGTCCCTGTTACCTGTAGCCTGTCCTGCTTCAGGTCTGGTTGTGTCGCAGAATTACTTTTTGTCTTTTCCATAGGTTCTTCATTCAGTGCGTTGTACACTGAACTTGGCTGGTGTCTTAGTTATTAATCTTTACACTGGTTCATCTTGCGTCTCACCATACTCTCCCCTGTATTAGCTTCCACGTTTCCTTAGAGATCCACCTTCGTCTTACCTCTCCTTTCTTCCTAAAGGGGCTATACAGGTTCCCTCCAAAATCACTTTCAGGGGTTTCCAGTGTTCTTCCACATAGGTTTCTTCAGTTAGGTTAAGTAGTGTTTCCTACTTTGCTCTGACGGCTGCGATGAATGTGTCCTCTGTAGTTTCGTCCTTCATTTCCTGAGTGTCTAACTTGAGCTGTGATCTATCTCCAGCTTCTCAGGGGTCTTTCAGTTTGGTCTTGATGGTTCCGCGTACTACACAAGGGTCTGAGCCCACACCTGCTGCTCCTATTGATCACATATCTAGAAGTCTGGGTCTTCACTTTCTAATGATTGAGATGAAGTCTATTTTAGTTTTGGTGTGTCTGCCTAGTGCAAGCCATTTTACTTTGTGCATATCTTCCTGCTTGTACACTCTGCTTACAATCAACAAATTATTGAAGGTGTGAAAGTTTACAGACGGCTCACTGTTTTTTATTCGTCTCACCGAGCACTTCCCGACCCATGATTTGTTTTCTTTTCCCTTTCCTCTGCCCCCACTTTGGCCGGCGTTTATTTCACTCAGTAAATTTCTGATGTCGTCACTTGATTGACATCTTGTCCATTAGTGCTTGCACTTGTCTGCAAAGGTCCTCCTGCTTCGCCACTGAGTTCGCCTCCTTTGATAAAGCGTAGAACTCTATATTTTAATTTCATTACTTCTGAGTTGGATGTTACTATGATTATCCTGGAGGTGATTGGTTCCCAGTGCATGAGAGCCTTTAATGGTTTTGGGGACATCATGATAGCCACATCGCTAGTGTGTAACTGCTTGTTGATTCTCTAGTTAACAATTTGGAGGGTCTGCTTCTATTTAAACTGCTCTCACATATTCCTAGCACTTCTATACCATGTCTTATTTTGCAATCTGGGCAGTCTTACCAGCTGTAAACGTGGTGCATGCACTCCATACTCCTATATTACTTCTGCTTTCATTGAAAGGAGACATATCTGCTGATTGGCTCAAAGAGGACTTCCAGCATCGTGCGTCATTTTATCTCTCCGATTCTGGCAAAGAGTAACTTTTTGTTTGATATTATTTTCTGTGCTTCCAAGTTTCTTTGGCGATTGGGTCAGTCTCTCGGGGTGTAGCCGTCAATCTCACTGCCAGTCTTCACTCTTTTTCTGGGTTTTGGATGGGGTCTTAAATCAGTTAACTAATATTTTGGGCGAGGTTATAATGAACTGCAGTAAAACTTTAAGCAAAAGTGCCTTGGTATAAGTTGCAGCACTTCAAAATACCAAATGGAATTCACTAAAAACAGAAGTGTGACGATAATATAATAGACAGACATGCTTGTGAAGAAGAATGAATTATTTTGTAACAAAACTCTCTAGTCAGTTAAGTATTAACACAGAAATATAGGAGAGTAAAAATAAATTTATCAACTTCTCTTACAAAAACAACTGCGAATGGATAATATGTTTCTGCCTGACCACATTTTGTTCTGGTCAAGCCTTGTTAAACCTATTTCAGCTAACGCCATTCTTATGGGATTTATTGTTGTTCTTCACGAGTCAATTATTGTAAATTCGTAAAAATAATCAAGTGCATGTTTATTGATATACCTTTTGTCAGAAATCTGTTGACTTTTAAGCAGTCAGAAAGAAAGAAAAAACTAATTGTTCGTGTACTGGATGCAGAGCATGAGAAACTTGGCTCGTTCAAGTAAGTAGGATACTTAATGTATTGAGATTTTAATGTAGACTTTTTGTAAAGGGCAAAGTTAAACTTTAAGCACCACTAACTACCAATCAGCGAATGGCCTCGAACGCACCAATCACGTGAAGGAGGCATTTTTGTGTATGGAATACATGTATTTATGAAAAACTGCATAAAAACTGTATAAAAGTGTTACAGACGATACCTTTGTCTCACATTTGATAGAAATTACTCTCAGTTTTAGACTGTAGTATCAACAGAGAATAATTCCATTGTGGGTAAAATTTATTTTGATAAAGTCTTACAGTGTTAACACTATGGTCGAAACGTCATCAGTAAATATTACTGCATAACACTGTGAGACTTTATCTAAATAAATTTTACTCACAATGGAATTATACTCTACCACAGTGCACAAGTTCTATTCTTATATCAAAAGAGTAATTTAACCACATTCTATGCATGTAATTATTTAGGTCTTCTAACCCTAATCTTTCCTAAACCTAGCCCTAACGTGAAAATATGTCTAAACTAACCCTCATCTAGCTTTAACTAGCTTTAATGTCACCTTTTATAGGTTAACCTAACCCTAACTTGTCCTTGCCCTAGACCGTAACTTAATCTTTCAATAGCATAACTCTCCGATGAGTATATTTTACTGATGATGACAACATTATTTGCCGAATTTCACTAACTTGCTCAGTGTGCGTTTCAAGGTCATTGGTGAGGCCGCACTCCATTGGTAGTCAGTGGTGCTTAAAGTTTAACTTGGCCGTAAAGCATAAACTAACTGGAACTTGTTTAATAGTACTTTGTGATGAAATTAACCACATAGCTACTTGAAATGTTTGTATGATTTTATAAGTAACTGAATTTCATCCTAAATAGCACTTCACTTCCATTTCACACATGAATAATTGAATGCCGGCTGAATGAGAAAAGCAAGATATGAGATGAAACAATAGAGAAGATTTGTAGTTCATAGAACACTACTAATTGCATGATATGAGATGTTTTCAGCGATCGCCAACGAAAGCATGAACATAAAATCACTAAATGATAACTGAAGCTGTGAAGAAATATGGCTCACAATACCATTTGAGCCTACGATATTCAGGTTGTTTCCAGGCCGCTGGCCGGCTGAACTATTTTTTTCAACTAGTCACCTTTTAACTCTATTCAACCTGAAGAAAATAAACTCAGATTGTCTCTAAGATGTTTCCTAAATTCAATTTCCATAATGACAATTAAATATTCCAAGGTACATCTGTAAGTAGACTGTTTCCTAAAATAATACAATTATTAATCTACGGATTTGAATGATGGAGTGTTAAACAGTCGGTAAACAAAAGCATGCCATTTAAAATGTAGGAATATTAGGAAACTTTAGGTTTATTATAGTTTCTTTGCTTATCTTGATTCCCTCTCTAACCTTATGTAGGCCTTTTGAAGGATGGGAATTTGGACTGCTGCAATTTCGGGAAAAGTTGTACGTTGAAAATTGAGTCAGTCAGTCAGTCAGGGCAGTCTTTAGTATTTCATTTCTGCAGTGTTACGTATATCTCTTAGTGTTTCTTTGCAGTCTCGGAAACAATGGACACTCATTTTGCCAGAATACTGTAATGTGAATATCTTACAGCCATTATACTTTATTGTAGAGCATCTCTCCTAATTTCGCTAATTTATTTCGCAATCAATTAAGTCTTGTTCTAATTGCAATTTAATGTTTATCTGAGAAGATATGGCGCATTATAAAATATAAATCTATCCCATTTTCAGATATTGTGAAGGTCTTACCATAATTTTATTCACAATTCTTACAATACTGTGGATAACAAGGAAATCGGGCACTGTAGGATGGGGGAGGTTCTTCGTTGACAAAAGCGATCCTAAAGCCAAGTGAGTTCATCTTTTCAAACTGAGTTTCCAGTATCACTTATCAGTAGAAAAGTTTTCATTGTGCATTTATTAAGACTGCTGGAAAGAAAACAATTGACCAGATTAGTAATTACCTTCCACATAACCCAGGTATACGACAACTAATAATAAAGACATGAACAGAAGTGATATCTTCAAACAGAATCATTCACAAATGATAAAATAATTACCAATATACCTAGTCACAAACACGGATGTTGATTTAACTGACTTAGGGATTGACTTGTTACCAGGGCATAAAGACAAGTCACACATTTGTTCGCTTGATCAACTGTTGTCTGCGACATGCAAAACAAAAAATAGATAATAAGTTGGAGGATTTCATCACGAGCTGACATCAGTTAGAGAACCAGTGGAAAACCACCTGGGATTACTGGACGGTCCCTTTCGTCCCAGTTTGGGACTCCTGAGAAGTACGCACTCATCGCCAGGGTTCGAACCCAGGATCTTCTGGATACAAGGCTAGTGAACTCGTAGACCATTGAGCCACTGGGACCCGATCCAATGGCCAGCCAATGAAATGACTTCTGCCAATTCATGACATAGCTTAATGGTCTACGAGCTCGCTAGCCTTGTGACCAGATGATGCTGGGTTCAAACACTGGTGGTAGGTTCCAGTCGAGTGATGGCCTGGTGTCCAAAGTCTCCCAATAGTCTTCTTAGCGTGTGTTTTGTCCATCTCGATTTTACGCAGCATATCTGTTGAGCAAAGGGTCTTTGATTGGTTCGTTTTCAAAGTTTACTGGTAATAATTCTATCTTGCCATTTGACTTTCAATATGGAGCCAGAGAAGCCAGCTATTGATGAAAGTCTGCAGGCTGTTGAGAATGGTCTCCATGACGCGCCAAGTTTCTGCAGCGATTGGATTGATGTCCTGGGGTAGAATCATTTTTCCCCACGGCCAATTTTTCTTCTTTTCCCTAGTTTAACATTGGCCAGAAAACTAGCAAACTAGTAAATTAGGCGCGGTTACTGAATGAATCTAGCTGGTAGAAATTCGAGTGTTAAACTCCTGAAATTATTGATAGTTATACTACTTTACTAGTTTTTACTTCCGCTGAAATTAAGATTCCTGCATCTTGTCACTTCTAAGCAATGTGATGATTGATACTGATCGATTACACAACAAACAGTTGAAAGTATCATACAATTCATGAAATGTAATTTTGTTTCTTAACTGATTCAGTATCTTTAAAATCAAAATATGATATTGTGAATTCATTTGCATTTGTCTTTTTGATAGAAGCTACGTAACAGATAGTTCCCCTGCAATTTTCATGTCCATAATCGTAATGATAATACCTGCATCTCATCCAGTTACTCTGTGGAAGCATTGGAAACATTGCTATGAAACGAAAACTGGTGAGTCTGATCACTGATTGTTTTACTATAGTAAGTGAATAACGGAAGCAAAAAAATGGACATCATTGCGGGAAACGAAAAGTACACACATTCTAAAGTTAAGTAAATAAGTGAAAATCTTGTTGAAAACAAAACTTGTCTAAACTACCTCAACTCATTCATCAATTGGAACTATTTGCAAAATGAGTCTAGAATGCCATAGAAATAGTCTTAATTCTATGCTCCTTTCTCATGCAGACTTGCATTTCTCGTTCTCAGCCTGATTCAAATTAAAAATTAACAGCAGTGAACAGCATTCTGATCGTGCTGAAACTTGTGATCTGTGTGTTTCGAAAACTACGCCTTTTACTGTTTTCACGTGAAAGGATTTTACCATGTGGACATCCTGAGTGGAGAATGTTTATTCCCTGTCAGAAGTCTATTTCTGATGAGTGGTAATCAAACAGAGTCGAAATGATCAAAATATCTGCGGGAGAATAAAGTAGGAATGGGTGACACCGAGCGTATGCGGTGGATTCTATTGGTTGTGGTCACTTCAGACGACCATCTGTGATGAGAATTGACATGGGTGGATGTGTTTCAGTGTTGTGTTTGGATTGTTGTCATGATTGTTGTAACTGTGACTTCAACGCGCGATAAATGTTTAGGTCCAAAATATGTTAATTGTTGATGAGGCTGGATGTGTAACTAGAATTTGATGATATAACTTAATTGAGCGTACCATAGTTCACTGGATCTACATTTCAACACTTTTTTAGTCCAACTGTCCTGTTCAACTCTGTTAATTTCTGCTAATTCATGTCTCATTTTTATTCAGACTGACGATGGACGATTGGCACATTTATGGTGGTCATAGAGCATATCGGAGTGTTTCAACTATTTCTTATTCGTTGGATATCGTTAGCATAGCCACCTGAATGTCGAACACTTCACTCAGTCTAAAATACTGGACACCTATTTTTCATTTTTTCATTGGTCACAGATCTATTTTGTGAAAAATTAAATGACCAATGAATAATTGTCATTCGAACATTACTAAAGTGGGCAAGTAGTTCAGACAAGAATCTCTTGTTGGCGAAATCATTTTCTTAAGCTGTTCAATCGCATTTATACACAGTTATTTCTCGTAAAAGTGGATAGTGAAAAAGTGTGAATCATCATAAAAGTAGTTGTTAATATTATTCAAAAGAGCTGAGAAATTGAAAAATTTACTGCTTTTCTAGAAAATAATAAATAAATGCTTTTGTGTGTGTTTTAGAGCCTAATGCAGAAATAACTCGTGCTCTCCTTCCATGGAATGTGGCAGTTAAAAGATTACCATGGGGTGTGATAGTGGTGATTGGAGGAGGCTATGCACTGGCAGTTTTAGTTCAGGTCAGACATATTTATAATCCCTTATTTGATTTGTTTACTTTTCTCTATCCTCTGTTTTATATAAGAAGAACGGTTACATAATTTTTGAGCTTATTTTTAACTTAAACTCAGTTCTTGCATAGATAGGCTGGAAACTGGAAGTTATAGATGAGACTGCTTTTAGAAGTAACAAGCACCTTATAATACAATCTGTTATATTTTTACATTTCTATAAGAATTTGTTGAAAACGGTGTCCTACGTTACTGAGGGACTGGTTAAATATAGAAAAGTCTGTGAGAACTATCCAAAGTTCGCTCTTAAACTGAGTCACCTAAATCATGTTCAGACGCACTACACTATGAAGAATCGTGCATTAACTGTAATCTGATGATAATAATAATAGTGGCTTTATTCCAAAACACTAATAATGATACAGTCTGGAATTCTCAGTACTTGGTACAATATTGCATCTAATCTCCTCAAAAACAGCGCATGGTTTAGGTAACCAAAATTGATAACAGCAGTTATTTTGGCATTAGCAGTAACAATAAAGTCAAAAATGTACAAAAATAATAAAATAATAACTAAAATTGTAAGATAATTGAAATAGAGTCATAATAAACTGCAAATGGATCAAAGAGCTATTTATTTTGCTAATGACATAGTAAGTTGTAAGTTTCATTCTTAGCGCTTTCTAAATCAAATAGATGACAGTCCAAAAAGGGCATCCCTGAGTTTTGCTAATTATATAATCTTTTATAATGACTCCATGCCTACATGATGAGATGTGAGGGAAGAGTTTTGAACAGAGAAAGTGTTGAGAGTCAGACAATATGGATTTACACCCTTCCTCACATGAGTTCATGTGTCGGTCGAATACAATAGTAACGTGTTGAATCACTGGCATACCACTTGCCCTACTGACAACCTTCAATACCCTTCACAATGTCACATACTCCTTTTTGAATAGCCCAAGAAAGACTGAAGTGGAGGAATGAAGAAGAATAGGTACATGCAAGAGTTAACAAATTGTAAAAGTAGAGATTGAGTGATACCTGACTGTCTTGAATTCCTAATGTGGAAGGCTAGATAGAACGTCTTTGAAATCAGCAAGATTTGGTTTGACCAAGATAAGTCAGTGGATAGAACTATTTCAAGGTAATTGATGCTTGACTCAGTTTCTATTTCAGTGCCCTCTATGTTGCAAGCATCTTGTGGGGATGAACAAGGTCATTTATGTCTGAAGGTGAAGTTAACTGTCTGACATTTTGAGGGATTGAACGTGAGACCACTAAGCTTGATCCACTGGCTGATGTCCGACAAAAGACTATTCAGTTTGGAACAGTCAGATAGGAATGTAACTGGTAAGGAGACAGTCAGATTATCAGTGTATTTGAAAGGAAGTTGGTTTCCCCCTAAAAAGGTGATTCGTGTAAGAAGATAGAGAACAGAACCTTGAGAGATATTGGCCTCAGTAAGCCGTTCATGAGAAGATTTGTCTTTATAATGGATTCCATTCGAGAAATGAGGAAGCAACCAGTTAACAGTTGAGGACTCGGTTTGTTTCAGGGAAAACTTATTCAGCCAAAGACATGAGTTTACAGAGACAAAAGTGGTTGTGTAGTTAAGGAAGTTGAATAGAACATATTTGCCTCTTTTGTCTAAACAGGAAGCACTATTATGATGTAACAAAGGGGCAACATCTAAAGTATATCTGCCCTGTTTTTATGCAAACTGTTTAGCGTTATGAGAATTTTTCATGGCTGAGTAAAAGTAATTTCCCTACTGATTTCAACAAAAGGAATTATTTGTACAGTTGTATATTTCATATTCCCACCAGTACATGTTTTAGATATTGGGATAATTTCAATGTCTTCCCATATGACAGGTACAACATCACTGGAAAAAGAAGCATTGAAAATGTTCGTATGAGGATAACACAAAATACCCGCATATCTTCTGAGGAAAAGAGCCGGTACACTATAGGGAACAAGGCTTTCGGAAGGTTTCAGGGATTTGAGACATTGTCAGTAAGACATTATCTTGTACCTAATCAAAAGTAGATTTGGACATATGTGATGAATTTAACATACTCTAGACATTATAATAAAACGTATTCCACAAAATTTTGAAATACCGCTTCATTCTTCAGATGGAATAATGATTACATCGCGATGTAATTGCTTATTACACTGCTAAGTCTAATTTTCACTCATCTAGACAATATATTTCTAATGATCGGGAT